AGCAAAGCACAGGGACCACGGTTCAATCCCCCAGCACCACATGCCAGCCAAACCCGCCCCCTGGTGGGCTGAGCTGGCCACACACACACACACACACACACACACACACAAAAGGGTGTAGTTAACAAGTACAAGAGAGAACATACTCAACAGTAAGCCCCACGGTGTAGATTGCAGTCTGACTGCACAAATATGCTTTGCAGGAATGGTTAGGAAAATAAGTAAATAAAAAATAAGTTTATCCTGACTTTATCCCAATTCTTTGGGCTTCAGAAGACCCCGCAAGTGACTTTCCGAAAGTCACCCCAGGGTGTGTGCTAGGACCAGTAGTGTCGGCCACATGAGGGTACTAAACATGGGCCTTGCCCTTGACTCCTGAAAGATCTCTAGGTTGAGGCTCAAGATGCTTGTCTTCTCCACCCTTCCTGGAAGGCTCTAGAACAAGCCCACTAACATCTAAGAATCTCAGATGCAGGTACAAACCCTGGTGTGCTACTAGTTAACTGCAGTCTTGGGGAAAATCACACAGTTCTCATTTGCTTTGTCCCTATCACCAACAGACTTGACGTTCTGCAAACACCTCCAGATTCCAACACTAAAGGATTCGAACTGAATATAAAGGTTCACCTTCTTTGCAGAGCTGTAGATATCTTCTCGGTTACTGCAATCTACCACGAAGCCATGAGCCTGGGCACCCAGTTTCCTGCATTCCATAGCTGTTTCCTCGATGCCATGCTAGAAGAGTCAGTGAAGGGCATGAGACAAAATTAACAGCAGGAATACAGCACACCAGCAGCTAAAGCAGGAAAGGCATACTCTCAAAAGAAGGATTACAGAAGGACATGCTGGTGCACACTTACAACCCCAGCTATGCAGGAGGCTGAGGCAGGAGAAACACAAGCTTGTGTCTTGCCTGAGTATTTCGGCAACTGTTGTCTCAGGTGGAAAGAAAATATACATTATTTATTAAAGGATTTAGCTCAGGGCAAAGGCCTTGGATTTAGTAACTAGTAGTGCAAAATAAATATGTAAATATTAACTTCACAAGGTATTTTATTTGGATCAATTGAACATTAGTCTTTCAGATGCATTCAATTGAGAAATCTGTCCCTGAATATTTGTATTAAAACATATAAAGCCAAAAACATCATACAGATCAACAGGAAATTATTCTGATAAACATAGTAGGAGGAAACATCAGATCTGTTAACAAGAAATTGACCTGATATGTACAGTAAAAGAGCATTGAGGAGGGTGTGTTGGCACATACCCCGGCAGGCTGATACACAAAGATTTCTAACTCAAGGCCAGCTTAGGCTATATGGTTGAGACCTTGTCTCAAAAAACAACAAAAATGGGTAGAGTGGGACTGAAAACATTCTTTCCAAACTGACTGCACCACAAATTCAGACACACAGGAGTCCCATGGTCTTGCATTGCACTTTACATTTGCCCTAGCAGCACTCAGCCTCTGGGGTTGCTAGTGAAGGGGTGGTGCACAACCCAATCAGTGTCTGTACAGTTAAGCTGAGCACACTGGGAAGCACAAGGAAGCTGACTGTCAGGCTACACAGCCATGATTACATGAAGATCAAACCAGCCTCAATCACATGTTGCAAAATGGGCAGCAAATTTTAGGCAGAGCCCTGGCCAACAATTTCTAATCACCCTCAGTTGGTGGCTGGGATCTTTTACAACTCGGAGGCTGTGGTGTTTGTATTTGACCCAGAGACAAACTATAAATGATTATTTTTTTTCCTATAAATGATTATTACCATCTCTACATATAAAAATTACTGTTACATTCTATAGTCCTTCTTTATAGTTTTTGAAATGAGTGGGTTATTTTGACACACAACACATATCAATTCAGACTTGTAGAAGTTTTTAGCCACGGGAGTGAGTGCTGCGACTTGAGATCCCACAGTACAGCTCAGGGCTGCCCCTTTTGCCTCTCTTACTCTGTGCCAGACCAGACTTCGGGCCAGGGATATAGCTCAGCACTCCAGTACCTGCCTGGCAAAAGCAAGGCCATGAGTTTGATTCCTTGGTACAGAATAAAAATTTAAAAAAACTTCAGGCTAGCAACTTTTTTTTTTTTTTTTTTTTTTGGTCTCTTGAGAAGGTCTCGCTATGTAGTTCAGGCTGTCTTGAGCTCACTTTGTAACCTATGCTGGTCTTCAACTTGCAATGATCCTCCTGCCTCAGCTCCCTAGTGCTGGGATCACAGTCATGTGCCACCACGCCTGGCTAGCACAGCATCTTCTGAGTGTTTGCTTCCTTCTTAGCAGCCCTGGGAATGGAACTTACATCCTCCACACTCATCTACACCCCCTACCTGTTTCTACTTTTTATTTTGAGCCAGGGTCTCGCTACTTCATCCATGCTGGGGTTGGACTTCAGATCCTCCTGCCTCACCCTGCCAAATAGCTGGGATTACAGGCCCCTTCTGACCTCTGCTCGTAACTTCTCCACCTTTCATTTTTATTTTTTATTCTTTTGCAGTGCTGAGGATGGAACTCAGGGCTACATGCATGCTAGGCAAGCACACACCACTGAGCTACACACCAGTCTCTACTGTCCTTTTCTTAATGCTTCCTTGGCTACCTGGAGAGCAACCGTCTTACTTCAGCGCCCCCCTCCTCCACGCTGCTTCTCATCTTTTCGTCTCTGCATGTTTTTGTGTCGTAATTCGTGCCCTCCACTACTCACAGCGTGCTTCACTTACTGTCTTCAGCACATAAGGTCTGTGTTTCTTTGCTGTAGTAGGCTCAGGTCTGCTTGGGAGGAGCATCAGGCACGCCATAGGTGCTCAAGGTATTTGTGGTCAAATGCCTTTCACTCCAGTGCAGAGAAATTGTGCAGACCAGCATTAAGCAAAGGAATCACTAACCTAGTAACTGACATCCCAGAGGTGTAATGGTCACTGTCCCGTTTACCACGTGCCAAACTCCAATGCTAAACTATGATCCAAGCTTACAGAGGGAAGTACTCTGCCTCAGTTCATTTTACATAAAAGAATGTAAGGCTCAGGGTTCAAAGGTCGGCTGCCCTGAGTCTAATCACACCACTTGGCCAAAGGGCTGGGCGAGGCCTGGTTTCCATCTTTCATTACACTAGTAGGTACTTAAGGTCTATTTTCTTTACTTGCTTCAAGGCAAGGGGCCCTCCCACTAGCCACAGGGTCGCTAGGGTCTAAGCAACACACTCAAACATTTGCAGACTGCTGTCTCCACCAACCACTCCCTGGGTCAGCTCTTAATTGATCTCATCTACCAGGAATTGTAGTTTATGAAATTGGAGGTCGACTCGTCCGTGACAGACAGCATTTCAGGCTGCCAGAAGCCTCTGTGCCTTCACCAAAAGCCAAATAAGAGGTTAGATTCTAGGTCTTTTTTACTTCCTTGAGCCTGCATCTACATCTGTCCTGGGTAAAAAGGTGCACTGAAGTTTTTTCTTGCCTTTTGATTGTTCTTACTAAAACAATAAAGCCGAGTGTGGTTTCCAGTGCCTATAATCCCAGCATTTGGGAACCTGAAGCAGTTTTGCATTCTAGGCTACAGTGAGTTCAAGGCCACCTTGAATTACACAGGGAGAACAAATTTCAAAAAAAAGAAAGTAAAAATAAATATAAAAGACAATCTTTATAAATTACTTTTAGCACTAACTACAGCTGGGTAACGTTGCTTTTGTCGGGTACAATCTCTAAACTACTGCTCCTCGGGTGCTGCAAATAGGACTTACTTAGGAACAAGCCTCCTACTTTTAAATACTCCTTAAAACGGTTAATTTCTCCACACAGATAAAATAGAGGGTCAGTGTAATCTGGAGATTACAAATGATTTTCTGGGCCTAAGCGCGGGTCAATGGACAATGTGATCGGAGGGTAGGCCAGTGGCTGGAAGGTCTCCTCTAGGAGTATTCCTCAGGTGATTCGACACTACACCTGCACCGCCGGTACAGCGGCAAGTGTAATTCTTTTCCACCTTCTTTACAGAGATGCGCTAAGGGGTGGCTGCCAGCAAAACGTGGCCGCGTCCGCCGACCGAAGGCACCGGGGAGAGCAGTCAGCGCCGTTACCTTATTAATATCCCAGAGAACCAGTTTGCTTTTACGTTTGGCAAATTCATAGGCAGTAAGTCTCCCGATTCCATGTCCAGCTCCAGTGACGAGGACGATTTCTCCGGCGACTGATTTTTTCTTCTTGGGGATGAAAAGCTTAATGAGCGACTCTAACCAGAAGATGAAGAGCAAGGGAAGGAGCAGGAGGGTGCTCAGAAGAAACCGCATCTCGGGGAGCGCCAGCTCGACCACGTTTCCGTCCGGGTGCGTTAGGTTAAATCAAGTCCCCCAGCAAGCGCAGAAAACTCGGCAGGGCTCCCGCCTCCGGGGACACCCGCAGCCTGGCCGGATGCTCCTTCCGCGGGGCGGGCTCAGCGCAGCGCCTGCCATTGGCTGGGCCCGCGGCGCCGCGCCCTGGGGACTGGGAGGTGACAGGGAAGGGAGAGGGCGCGAGGGGCGGAGGCGCCCCAGAGCGCGACGAACTCGGACCTCCCCGGGACAGAGGCCAGTGATTTCCGCAATCCTGGCAAAGTTGCTGCTGCTACTCAGGAGGTAAGGATGCAAACGCGGAATCGCAGAGTCCTTGCAAGGCCTGGATGAGGCCAGTTCTGCTCCCTGCAAAGAAGGGAGCCCACTTCACTGTTTAGTTTGGATTAAACTCTACTTCTGTCCTCTCACAGCCAGCTATAATCAAGTTTTAGGGAGGAAAACAAACCCCACCTTACATTGGACGAGACTGTTTCCATAAGGAAGAGCAACATATTTGGGCAGCCACGTGACCCATTAGAATTTGGAAACAACACTCGCAAAGCGTGCATTCCACTGTGGTAACTGTATATTTATCCTGGCTAATACATGACCCTTCAGCTAGGCGCTGGGAGGCACGCCTGTAACGCCAGCTACTCCGGAGGCCAAGGCAGGAGGACTGCAGGTTGCAGCTCACACTGGGAAGTTCAGGAAGGCCCTGTTTCAAAAAGGAAAATAAAAGTAGTTGGGGATGTGCATAGAGGTTGTGTGTCCAATACAAAATGAGTAATAAGGACACACAGCTTCACACCCACCTGAAGGCTACCTGTTTGGGTTGCATCACCCATCGGTACCCATGCACATGTGTGTGTAGTAGACATTTACTATAAATTAACAGATGATTTAAAAATAAAGTCTCCCGGAAGGTATAACTCAGGGGAGTAGAGCATTTGCCTGCGTTCAGGAGCTCCAGGGTTGTACAGGAGAGATTAGTTACACAATGAAACCAAGCAGTGGGGCCCGGGAGACGGCTCAATGGAATGAGCCCTTGCCTGGCAAGCGCAGGGACCTGAGTTCAGTCTTTGGTTCTGACAAAAAAAAAAGAAACCAAGCAGCGACATAGATCAGGGCTGGGGATACAGGACAAACAACTGGGCAGGATGTGTCAAAGGTCCTAAACCCCAACCCCCACCCCCGAGAACCCCAAAGGACTCCAAGCACTGGAGCATTGCCCGGAGCCAATCAGAAATCGATGTCCTCAAACTCCTGGACCTTTGAATCTGGAGCTTTGCGCAGGACCAACCAGAAAAGTCCTATCTTCAATTTCTTGTTTACACCTGGAAGAATCCAAGTCAGTCATTCCGTGGGGCGGTTCAGAACTGACCCGAGGCCCGGTGCCTTATTTGTGAGGAGGAGCCAGTCTGGCACTGAACACCAAGACTCCATCCCAGTCAGGGTCGTCACAAGCCCATCCTACCGCGCACCTGGTCCACCTTCGACTTGTCTGTGTCTGTCCAGGCTTGTACAGGTCTCTAGGAACCTGGAAATTATCCCACCGCGCCCCCACCATTTCGCTAGTGTGCAATTAAAAGCATAGTAACTAGTCTTGTATTTTAATTTTTCTTTCCACTTGCGTTGTAGAATACTTGGACTTAGGCCTCGTTGAAGGCACTCCAGACCCTGGAGGATGCACGACCGTACTTAACATTCAGGGCCAGAAGTCACAGGAGTATTCATGCCCACTTCATCCACTTACCTAAGCAGCCCTACCTCCTTATTGGGGAAAAGTGACAAGGAAAATAACCACTAAATATTGTACTTTTTAGAAGACTGTAACTTCCCAGCATGGTGGTGCATGCCTGTGGTCCCAGCACTTGGAAAGCTGAGGCAGGAGGATCCCCATAAGTTCAAGACTAGCCTCGGCTATCTGGTGAGGTCAAGGACAGTCTGAACTGCATAGCAGGGCCCTAACTCTTAAAAGCAAACAACCAAAACAACACAAAAAAAGAGGACTGCAACTTCCTAGCTGTGGGTTAAATCATCCCTACACTCCCTGTCTGGGTTCTCTGGTTACATTGAAGCTTCCTCCCCTTCCACACACCTGTCACACTCAAAGTTCCTCAAGAATGCTGACCATCCAGAGATTAGCTTCACTGAGAAAGGGGGGGTATAGGGGGATGGGGGGGGGGGGGAGGTAGAACTGATCCTAAGGTAAAGGAACAAGTTGAGAAAATATTTTTTTTTTTACAAGTTGAGAGAATATTAAACAACATTTAAATTACCACTTTACAAAATAAAATAAAACAGGACCCATACCTGCTTAACCAGGCAATACCATCTTGTGGAGGGATGGCTGATTTTCCTGGGATTTCCACCACCTCAAGAAAAGTCTGTGTATCCTATTTGAAGAAATAATGTGCCTTTCTTTGTAGGGCCCGTGCTCCCTTTGAACACATACTCTTGAACTGGGGTTTAATAAAGCCCCTCCTTAGCTTCTTAGTGAGGTGGTGTGGAAATCTTTTCCAGGATCGCAGTCAGCAAACCTGCAGACCTTGCTTGTAGGTGGAGTGGGCCTGTCCCTCATCTGGGCTTCGGGACCCTCCTGGGCTCTGTCTGATGACAGCCCACAAAAGTACAGCTGCACTGTGGGCTGCTTGCCTTTCTCAGTGTCACCTGCAGCAGCCTCCTGTACCCCTCCAATCCTGGCTCCTGATGGTACCAACACATGCGCAAAGGAAGTCTAGTTTCTAAACTTTTCTTCCATATATATTATGTGACTTTCAAGTCTCCTCAGAGGTAGACATGAAAAATATACCTGTACTTTTTAATGAATAAATCAGGTTGACTTTTATGAATTTCCAGTTAGTAAAAAGGCATCAATAATGTTAAACCTATGGTCATTGGTGACCATTTCTTTTCTCTCTCTCTCTCTTTTTTTTTTTGTTGTTTTTTGTTTTAATTTTATGGGGCTGGTGAGATGGCTCAGTGGTCTAAAGCACCTACTTAAAACAAGCTTAGCAAAGCACAGGGACCTTGGTTCAATCCCCTGGCACCACATGCCAGCCAGCCCCGCCCCCTGGTGGGCTGAGCTGGCCACACACACACACACACACACACACAAATAAATAAATTAAAAAATTTAAATGAAGGGGAAGGGAAGATGGCTCAGTGGAATAAGCGCTTGCCTGGCAAGCGCAAGGACCTGAGTTCAATCCCTGGTTCTGAAAAATAAAAATAAAAAATAAATAAATAAATTTTATTTATTTTATTAAATTTTATTTATTTATGTGTGTGTGTGTGTGTGTGTGTGTGTGTGTGTGTGGCCAGCTCAGCCCACCAGGGGGCGGGGCTGGCTAGCATGTGGTGCTGGGGATTGAACCGTGGTCCCTGCGCTTTGCTAAGCTTGTTCTAAGTAGGTGCTTTAGACCACTGAGCCATCTCACCAGCCCTTTTTTGTTTATTTTTAAGATAGAATCTTGCTTGTTAGTGCACGCTGGCCTTGAACTCACTATGTAGCCCAGGATGTCCTTGAACTTGTGGAGATCCTCTGGCCTCAGTTTCCCGAAGTGGTGTGATTACAGGCATGGGCCACCACACCCAGCAGTTGCAGTGTTCTCAAAAGTACAATTTTTAGTTGTGAGTTTCCTTGTCTCTTTTCCACCTATCTTCATTTTTGCATCCTACTTCATCCCTGTCAGTGATGGTCAGTTTTTTGCCCCACAACTACAGAAAAAATTACATTTTACATTGTGACCAAGTACATTTATATGTGCTTGTTTGCTCGCTCTTTGTTTCTTTATTACAGGGTCTCACTATGTAATTCAGACTCCTTAGTGATCCTCCTGTTTTCAGCCTCCTCAGCACTGGGGTAACAGGCATGCACCATCATGTCCAGTCTTGGTGGCCAGCTCAGTGCACATGCTGGGGATAGAACCCCAGTCCCCGTGCTGATGTAAGCAGGTGCTTAGTCCGCTGAGCTAT